ACTCAAATCTACGACATTAAACCAAGTAATTCTTACTGCTCAAATCTATGACATTTTACCAAGTAATTCTTACTGCTCAAATCTGTGACATTATATCAAGTAATTCTTACTGCTTTGGCTAAAACATGCAAACAGTTGCTGACAGACAAATTGTTAATTACAAAAGCAATACCCCATTCTCCCAAGCCCTCAGTCCCAGCGACCTGGCTTTGGTCTATTTTAACATTTGTACATTTGTCACTGTTATTTTTCTGTAACAAATTCAAGTTTATGACATCATAAATATGTACAACTTCGATTTATCTTCTACTGTGTTTGGGTTTAAAAGGGCGGTTGGCGTGTTGTGTTTACAGCTAGGCTGCAATGTCAATTCTTTTCAGGTTAACACAGGGGATTTTAGCAAATCCTGAATTGGTCGGCTTTTACAACATGCCAGTTAAGGGATCACTACACAGCATTTTTTTCCAATTTATGACAAAAATATCACTTTTCCAATGTGTTCATTTTTGTAATGTTTGGCATTCGAAGAATAGATTACACACAAAATTTGTGTCATTGGTAAAGTGTTTAGCATTGAAAAGTTAATACTAAAGACACCAACCCATGCACTTTTTTAAGATAAAAAAAAAGTTTAAAAGTCACTTTTCTAACAATTCTATTTTTATGTTTGTTGTGTGTGGGATCTCCTAAAATCTCAGCTAATATAAAGACTAGAGACGTGAAATTTGGTGTGGATACTCCTAATACAATATTATAGGGTCAGGTCTATTTGAAATTACAGTTTATTGAGTCATTTTAAAAAAAAATTTGATTATTAAATAAAAAAGCTACATTTTTGTATTTTTTCAACATACCAAAATTCTAATATTCTAAAAAAAAAAAAAAAAAATATTTAAAAACATCTTTGAAGTAAATAAACTAGACCTGACCCTAAACATAGGTGTAAAGTTCATGAATCAATCATCTGTTTTGTAATACCTCTGTTTGATTTTGAAATTTTAGCTCTCTAAGTACATGTTGTTTTTTTTCATCAAGATGGCGGTTGTTGCCATGGCAACCATGTTTTTTTTTAAACTTGAAGTATACAAATGTATCAACATACATCCCTACAAATGACCATTATAAAATAATTGGTCTAACATTGTAAGTAAAAAAAAAAAAAAAAAAAAAAAAAAAAAATTTCCTGTAGTGCCCCCTTAAGGGATACATAAACTGATGCCTGACATGCTAGATCAGCGGTTCTCAATCGTTTGGGTGCCGAATGACCCTTTCACACGGGTCGCCTAAGACCTTCGGAAAACACATATTCACTGAAGTTATGAAGTAATAGCAAAGAAAATAATTTTACGTTTGGGGGGTTCTCACCACAACGTGAGAAACTGTATCAAAGGGCCGCGGCATTAGGAAGGTTGAGAGCCACTGTGCTAGATTTTGTAAGGGCCCTTTGGGTGTGAGCGAACAGTGCAGAGGCACAGAACATCACAGTCTGAGGAAAATGGTGCTGTGAGAAGTGACCAGGGAGTATGGCTGACGCTCAATACTCAGGGAATTGGTGAGACGGACATACAATCAGACAGCTACTGGTACTATCAGAATTGCAACTCTACGCTTGCTGGCAAAGATGGAGACGGAGCGCTTATGGGAATGTCCCAAGTTCTACGATGTCTGTTCTTAACCCATAAATGTTAATTTAGGGATAGAGAAGAGCCAGTTGAGGAACTAGCTATTCCCCACCCCTCAAGTGGGAGGCGCGTGTCTAAATCCTCAGTAGTTTGGGGATGATGTCTGTCAGGGGGGGGGGGGGGGGGGGGGGGGGGGGGGGGAACACATCTTGATCTGCACAATTCTTGATGACTGCATTAGCCATATGGGCCTAAGCAGAACAAGCCTGTCACGGACCAGTGGGTTTATTCTGCCCCCATACCTCCTTCAATGGGGTCATGAAACTCACACGGGGAACACCAATTTATGATAAACATGTTTATTTCACTGCTGCAGTTGTTTAAACTTTTTAAACCCCAAGTAATAAATTATGTGTGAATGACTATTATTCATTTGTCCCAATCAGTTTTTTGTGTTACTGTTTCTCTTATGTTTGGCCAGAGCGTGCTAAAGAAATCTGGCAACGTACTTTACAACAACAACAAAAAGACCATAACTGTGTTGAGCTGGAAATAGGGCATAGCTTAGATATTTATTTTCACTTGTGCAATATTTTTTGGTTTTATTCTCAACATAGTGGTGCTGCGTCTGTTTATAGCACACTAGGAAATCTGCACCATTTAGTTCATACATCTTCCTGTGTTTTTCGGGGCCCCATTTTAGGGAGAGAGAAAAAAAAACAAGAACCTGTTGCGCCCAACAAGCATTTTGCAAAAGGCAACAAATTAGGAGTTTGCTGAAATCAGATGTATTTGGCTAAAGGGTGCAGATATCGCAGGCTAGCTGTAAACTGACACAACATTTCCAGCTGCCCACTTGTGTGTGTGCGCCGCATGCTTGCATGTGGGAAGAGGGGCAAACACAGAATATAAGGAGTCTACACATCCAACTTCTTTAGGCATCTGTTGCCTTTTCGGACTTTCTCCGAGTGAGAGTGTTCAAATACAACCGTACACCTAACTGTACATGTTCAGCCTATAACATCAAATGTTATCAATAGCTGCACATCATGAATAAAAAAACATCTTTACATTATCTTTACATCACAAAACTAATTGTTTACAGGTTAAATGAATGGTAATACACACATAAGAAAAATGTTGAGTGATGAGCTCTGCCTCACTCAACACTCATAGTACACATCAAAGATGCAACACATCATTAAGACTCAGAATTATAAAAAAAAAACTTCACCTGCTTTTCCTGCTAAATCTGCAACCTGCTTTTTAATTATGATAAACAGAACATCACTCACACCACAGTTACTGACTCAACCCACCATCTAGTCACAGATAGAACACACACCACACATAGCTATAGATAGAACACACCACATCTAGCTATAGATACAACACATCATACAGGTCACCTGTGCATTAATACAAAACATCTCTTATACAATCTACCAATGGCTACAAAGCATCATTCATACCATCTAGCCATAGATACAACACATCATCTAACCATAGGTACAACACATCATTTACACCATCTAGCAATAGACATAACACATCCTTCAAGTCGCCTGTGCATTAATACAAAACATCTATGCACCATCTACCAATGGCTAAAAACATCATTCATACCATCTAGCCATAGATGCAACACATCTTTCACACCATCTAGCCATAGGTACAACACATCATTTACACCATCTAGCAATAGACATAACATATCATTTATTTCATCTAGCCACAGACACAACACATCATTTACAATATCCAGCCACAGATACAACTCATCATTCAGGTCACCTAAGCATAGATACAAAACATCCCTCATAGCATCTAGCCACAGCTACAAAACATCATTCACACCATCTAGCCATAGATACAACAATCATTTAAACTATCTATCCATAGACACAACACATCATCACACCATCTATTCATAGATACAACACATCATTTTTCACCACCTAGCCACATATATGACACATCATTTACACCATTTAGACACAGATACAACAAATCATGGACACCATCTAGCGATAGATACACAGTCTGGACACAGATACAACACATCATTTACACCATCCAACAAATAGACATAATACAGCACTGACACCATCTAGACACAGATACCACACATCTTTTACACCATCTAGGAAATTGACAACACATCACTGACACCATCTAGAGACACAGATACAATAGATCAATGACACCATCTAGCCATAGATACAACACATCATTTACACCATCTAGCCAAAGATACAACACATCATTTACACCATCTAGTAAATAGACACAGCCATCTATCTAGTCATAGATAGAAAATACGACTCAACCACCAAGCCACTGATAGAAAACACCAACTCAACCACCTAGATATAGATAGAAAACACCACTCAAACCACCTAGCTATAGATATAAAACATCACCCAACTGCCTAGTTTATCATACACAGCAATGTATGGCTGCAATTTATCTAGATTTCTATTTCAAATCGTCCCCCAATATCCTGCAACCACCAAAGAAAACAGGACCAGGATATGGGGTACCTCACTCCCCCTCACAACAAAGGAACAAAGGAAGATCCTGGGGAAGATAAGTAGATATGAGAGAAAATAATGATATAAGATTGCAATACTACTGGCACACACTAAAGTTATCACTTCAAAACATTACCTAGTGTTATGTGAAACATCTGTATTATAACACATGCTAGCTAGACACGCTTATAGCTTCAGCTTTCTGTTGTCTATTCTATTTTCTGAATTCTACTTTTTCATCTGTAGATGCCAATAAATGAGCTATTACTTTAAGAGTTTTCTTGAGTTATCACATTACTAGTTTCTGTGACTTCCAAGGCTTCTTTCTTCTTCTTTTGTTGTTAATCTCACTATTACCTGGTTGTAGCCCAGCGTTATGGCTTTCTGTATTTGCCCTGTGCTTCTCGGATGGCTTGGGTGATGGATTTTCTCAGCTTTCTGCAGGTTTAAGCTACACCATTTATCCATCTCTTTCTGGGTCTTTCCCTCGCCTTCTTCCCAGATTTTCTGCTGTAAAACACTCAAATGCAGTTTTGGTCTGGCTGCATTCTCACTAGACGGCCGAACCATTTCATTTGTCGTCTGTCAATATAATTCAGACATGGTCTTATTCCAACGTTCTCTCTGGTAACCTGGTCACTTCTTGTGTTGTTAGCGACCTCACAGAGACAGCACATTTACCAGGAAGTTATATTCTGTTCGAGTGCTGTATTCCTTCCACAGCCACAAGACTCAAAAAGATTTAAAAAAGAAAAAAAAATCTAGCACACAAATAAGGAGGTGATACAAAGTTTTGTGACCAACAGATGGACAGAACAAACAAACAAAAAAGTAATGATACATGCTACCATGCCCGTGATAAATGTAGATTTCTGCCAAGCACAGATCTAACATCGTTGCAGAACCGCAAGGCATCCAGCATCGGCAGGAGACATAGAAGAGCAGTATCTCGCGGTTCACTGAACCATGACTTAATAGGTATGGCATTATCTGCAAAAAATCCCAGAGTACAAACTCAGATGTTAATTTCAACTAATGGACATATAACAGTAACAGAAGAAACAGATTTTAACAGTAACAGGGGAGACATGCTTCTAAAAATACTATATTCATTTAAGTTGCATATAAAAAAAAAGGGGGGCGCCACAAGAAAAAGGTTGAAAACCGCTGCTCTAGGGAGATCTGTTATATATACAGACATGTATGTTAAAAGGGAGAGCTGTTAGTTTTGTACACTTGTATACATGTATGTTAAAAGGGAGAGCTGTTAGTTTTCTACACTTGTATACATTATGTTAAAAAAGGGAGATCTGTCATAGTTTTGTAGACATGTGTGTTAAAAGGGAGATCTGTTTTAGTTTTGTAGACATGCATGTTAAAAAAGGGAGATCTGTCATAGTTTTGTAGACATGTGTGTTAAAAGGGAGATCTGTTATAGTTTTGTAGACATGTATGTTAAAAGGGAGACCTGTTATAGTTTTGTAACATGTATGTTAATATGTTAAAAGGGAGATCTGTTATAGTTTTGAAACATGTATGTTAAAAGGGAGATCTGTTATAGTTTTGTAAACATGTATGTTAAAAGGGAGATCTGTTATAATTTTGTACACATGTATGTTAAAAGGGAGATCTGTTATAATTTTGTACACATGTATGTTAAAAGGGAGAGCCGGTATTGTTTTGTAAACATGTATGTTAAAAGGGAGATCTGTTATAGTTTTGTAAACATGTATGTTAAAAGAGACAGCTGGTATAGTTTTGTAAACATGTATGTTAAAAGGGAGATCTGTTATAGTTTTGTAAACATGTATGTTAAAAGGGAGATCTGTTATAATTTTGTAACCATGTATGTTAAAAGGGAGAGCTGTTATAGTCTTATATACATGTATGTTAAAAGGGAGATCTGTTAGAGTTTTGTAAACATGCCTGTTAAAAGGGAGAGCTGTTATAGTTTTGTAGACATGTATGTTAAAAGGGAGAGCCGGTATAGTTTTGTAAACATGTATGTTAAAAGGGAGATCTATTATAGTTTTGAAAACATGTATGTTAAAAGGGAGATCTGTTATAATTTTGTAAACATGTATGTTTAAAGGGGAGAGCTGTTATAGTCTTATACACATGTATGTTAAAAGGGAGATCTGTTAGTTTTGTAAACATGCATGTTAAAAAGGAGATCTGTTATAATTTTGTACACAGGTATGTTAAAAGGGAGAGCCGGTATAGTTTTGTAAACATGTATGTTAAAAGGGAGAGCTGTTATAGTCTTTTACACATGTATGTTAAAAAGACTGATCTGTTACAGTTTTGTAAACATGCATGTTAAAAGGGAGAGCTGTTATAGTTTTGTAAGCATGTATGTTAAAAGGGGAGATCTGTTGTAACCCTTGTATGTTACACAGTAGGCAGGCAGACTTACCTGGAAACATGCGGTAAGCTACTGGTGAGTTGTCTAGTATAAAAACACTGGATAGATCTGGGTTGATTGCTGATAAATCCTTTGTGTAGCTCCCCATGTCCAAGTTACAATGCTGTTGGGGGAAAATGAACAAGAGGGTGTGCTGTTAGTTTTCTGAACTAGCCTGCTCACTGAACATCACACCATTCAGCCCTTAAGTGCTCGGATCCCCTCCTCAGGAAATCCTGCAGTGTGTTGAATCCAGGACTCACATCCATATGCTGCCACAGGAAAGATGCATGTCCTCTAGTTTTTTTTTTTTTACTTTCAGGTGTGTGTGTGTGCTCACATGTGTGCGTGCATGCACGCACCCATGCATATGTGTGTATGTGTTACTTATGATGTGCCAGAGACTCGTCTTCACACAATTTAACTTGAGCAGCACTGCTAAAGTCAGTCTCTTAATTTAATGTTGAATCAGATCTCTCTCTCTCTCTCATACACACACTCCAAAACAAAACACACACATAAAGCAACTAGAGTTAGAAAACTCCCCAGTTCTCTCTCTCTCATGCACCCCCCCCCCCCTCTCCCCCAACCAATAAAACAAAAAGCAACCAGAGTTAGAAAAAAACTCCCTAGTTATCTCTCTCTCTCTCACATCAAAACAAAACAATAAAAAAAAGCAACCAGAGTGAGAAAAACTCCCCAGTTCTTACACACACTCTCTCCTACACACACACCCACAAAAAAAGAAACCAGTTGGAATAACTCCCCAGTTCTCTCTCTCTCTCATGCACCCCCCTCCCCCCCCACACCAACCAACAAAACAAAAAGCAACCAGAGTTAGAAAAAAACTCCCTAGTTTTCTCTCTCTCTCACACATACACACATCAAAACAAAACACACAAGAAGCAACTAGTGAGAAAAACAGTTCTTACATACACACGCTATCTCTCTCTCTTCTACACACACCAAAACAAAAGAAAAGAGCAACCAGAATTAGAAAAATTTCCCATATCTCACATACTCTCTCTCTCTCACACACATCAAAACAAAATAAAAAAGCAACCTGAGTTAGAAAAACTCCCCAGTTCTCACACACACAACAAAATAAAAAAGCAACCTGAGTTAAAAAAAACTCCCGTTCTCACACACTCTCTCTCACACACACACACCAAAACAGCAACCAGAGTTAGAAAAACTTCCTAGTCCAGTCCTCTCTCTCACACACATACGCACAATGTGCGACCACCCCCCCCCCCCCCAAGCAACCAGAGTTATAAAAAATATCCCCAGTTCTCACAAAGATGCTTACCTGCCTATAGTAACGTCTTCTTAGTATGTTCTTCCCCCCATCCAACTTGTCGGCGACTGCTGCACCGTAAATTTCCATGCTCGCTGTAAATATTACCAGTTCATACCACTGGCTGACCTGGCAACAAGAGATGCAATGGAATTGTTATGTTTACAGTATCGTTACAACAATGGATTTGTTATGACTACGAAATTGTTATGATAATCCTTATCACATGCAAACCAAAATAACTGCTAGAGAATGATAGAAAAATGAAATATGTGACAGAAGGAAAGACACAAAATGTAACCGAAAGATGAAATAGGTAACTAAAAGTTGGAATATATAATAGAAAGTAGTCATATATGTAAAAGAAAGATGGCATAAGTCTTCTTCTTCTTCACGTTCACCAGCTGTAAACTCTGGCGGAAAGTTCTGGTTGCTCGTCCACTACTGAACTGCAGTCCTGCTCCAGAACCTGAGTGTTGCGTCTGCATCAGTTTTACAGATCTCATTCTCTTGAATACAGACTGTTGGTTCCTTGCCTCTCCGGCAGATGCACTCCGACTTCAAAGGAAGCTAACCAATTTGTCGACTCTTACGACATGCTTTTGGGGAAGCAGTGGGTCTATTCTTGTTTTCCCCACAATGGGGCCCCGGAACCCACACAGGGGAGATGGCATTAGTAATGTATGGCATATGTAACCTAAAAATGCAATATATAACATAAAAATGCAATATGTAACAGAAAGATAGAATATTAACAGAAAAATGGAATAAGTAATAGAAATATGGAATGTGTAACAACAGAAAGAGGGAATAAGTAACAGAAAAAAGGAATAAGTAACAGAAAGAATTAATATTAACAGAAAGATGGAATAAGTAACAGAAAGATGGAATATGTAAGTAACATCAACAGAAAGAGGGAATAAGTAACAGAAAGATGGAATAGGAAACAGAAAGAGGGAATATTAACAGACAGATAGAATATGTAACAGAAAGATGTAATATAAACAGAAAGATGGAATATGTAACAGAAAGATGGAATATGTAACAGACAGATGAAATATGTAACGACAGTAGGATGGATTAGGTAACAGAAAGATGGAATATAAAATGCAAAGTTGGAATTTAAAAAAATATGGAATATTTAACATAAATTTGGAATATATAATAGTAATTTGAAATATGTAACAGAAAGAACAAGTGAATATATAACTGAAGGAAATGTAGAATATGTAAAAGAAGGAGTAAACACATAAAAGAAATATGGAAAATGTAACAACAAGAAAGAGGCAATACTAATGGAAGGAAAGTTGAAATCTGTAATAGAAAGTTGACACATGCAACAGAAAGCTGAAATACATATTTAAAAAAATCATAAATATGTAACAAAAAAGCTCAAATATATAACAAAAACTTGATAAATGTAACAAAATATTGAAACTGTTCACTGAAGAAGGAAAGAAAGATGTAACAAGATAAAGTTTCAAGAAATAGATTAAAATTTGCTAAACATATTATGCTGCTCTCTGCACATACCATTTCCAAAAAGAAATCAACGTGAGGCCGCTTGTAAACAAAAAATCGAACTGGATGTCTGTCTATTGTGACCTGGAAGACAAGAGGAAAACAATTATAACATAAGTTATGGTTGTAACAAAGCAACACAGCCTGACTGACTGAAGTTCAACCCCCACAGGACCGCACGACACCAGTGACACAGACTGCCCACATTTAAATGACAATCACCTGGGTGCAAGTTCCAGAAACCCTGTTCAACCCGTAGGTTACATTTAGGGCCCCCAAAGACAGCCGAGGTGGGCTTTAAAATAACAAAAAATTAATGTCCCACATGGGACAGAGATAGTAAGCAACACTGCCTCATCTGTCCTTTGTCTCCCCATGGGAATAAGGCCCTCAACTAACCCACACCAAGTCATTCATTATTTTGCTATCACATGCAGCTAATTCTATACACCCCCCCCCCCCCCCCCCAGCTTTATTTTTCAAATCCCTTTCTTTTCTCTAAGGGTGTTTTTATATTAATATTCCAAGCCTTCTGGGCATATAGGGCTAGACCTATATTGTAGAGACCAACAGGCACTATGTGGTCAACATTTTGCTGGCTGCCTCTACTTCCCAGGAATACAGCTGGTACCTAACCATTGAAGGCTATGTCAACCTGTCAGCCAAGGTCATTTCTGAAACAAGTCCGGTTCTGCCAGGACCTGAACCCACCGCCTTCCCATCTGCAGGCAAACGTCTAGCATTAAAGTTCATCTTTGCCTGGTGCTTTGTTGTTCTTTAAAGTGTGGATAGCTTTAAGGATTTCTTGTTTGCTTGGTGGTTCAGTAATAATGTCAATGTCCTAAGAGGCTGGTTGAATATCTGAGGGATTTTCAGGATCAGGTCTGTTCAAGAGGTGGGAGAAGTGTTTAGTCCACTGCATGTCTTGTTTTTGTTCTGTGGTGAGCAGTCTGCCTTGGTTATCTCTGATAGGTATGCTGTGATAATTGTTTCTGTTTCCGCAAATTTGCTGGGTAATTTTGTGTAGGGTTTGTAGATCATGTGCTTTAGCAGCATTTTCTGCTGTTTCTGCAAGATTTTCCATAAATCTTCTCTTGTCAGCTCTGGCACTTTTCTTGGTCATTTTATTTAGTTCGCTGTATTCTAACATTAGTTTGTCTTTCTGACGTTCTGATTTAGTGTGATTTATGAGGCTCTTTATTCTTTTTTTGCTTGGCAATATAGTCCATGGTTTGACTATTTATCCATTCTTTGTGGTGTTGTTTCCTGGTTCCTAAAATATTATTGCTAGTTGATTTGTATGTTTCTTTGATCTGGTTCCATATGTCTTGAATGCTGATTGTAGTTGGAGTTTCTGGGTCACTTGATAGGGTTTGAAATCTATTCTTGAGTTCTACTATAAATTTAGTGGCGATGTCTTTTTCTCTTAAAAGGTTAACATTGTAACGTGCTGTCTGTGTCTTAACTTGCGTGTAAACTTTTTTGAGTTTAAGTCGTAGTAGAGCGACTACAAGGTGATGATCGCTTCCCACATCTGCTCCCCTTTTGACACGCACATCGAGTAGGGACCCACGCCATTTTCTGTTAACCATGAAATAGTCAATCTGGTTTACATCTCTTCTGTTTGGGGATATCCATGTAAGCTTGTGTATATTCTTGTGAGGAAATAGTGTTCCTCCTATTACAAGTCTATTCGCCGTGCAGAAGTCGCTCAGTCTTTCCCCGTTGTCATTAATTGTACCACATCCTTGATTTCCCATTGATAGTTCTCTATTCAAGTTGTTGTTACCAACTTTTGCAGTGAGATCTCCCATAATGTATAGAATATCATGGGCTGGTACTTTACTACCTCTTATTCCTATAGAATGTTTCTTTATCTTCATCTTCAGCTTCTTTAGTCGGTGCATAGCATTGGATGACTGTAAGTTTGGCAAGTTTGCCATTGAATCGTGCTGTCATTATTCTTTGATTGATTGGATGCCACTCGATGAGATGTTTGTGTATACCTTTCTTTAAAATAAGTGCCACGCCTGCAGAATGTAGGTTATCATCTCTTCAAGAGTATATTATGGTTTCTCCTGTACCTGTTGTGGATTGTCCAAACCCTGTCCACCTGCTTTCACTAATTCCAAGAATATGCAGTTTATAGTTCTGCATTTCTTTAATTACTTGGGCGGTTTTGGCCGTTTCAAACATGGTTCTTACATTCCAGAAGCCAATTCTTAATTTGGTCTTGACTTGTTTTCCCATCATGGGCTTCCTTTCGGCTTTCACCCATGTTGTTCATGCTGACAGAGGGACTCTGTCCCAAGACCACCGGACGTTTGAGCACTTATTTCCTCTTGAAGTTTCAGTAACGTTGTAGATTTTTTACAGGGCAGAGCTGTCAACACTGCGCCCAACCCCCGAGCCTGGAGGACCGGGAGGCCATCTTTAGTCTGGCCCATCACAAATGACCTGTCCGGCTTGGGTAACCCTGCCAGGAACATACGTTCCCGCCGGCATAGCTCATTAGATCATTGAGGCTCTCAAGCTCCCCCACCACTACAAGGTAATGGCCTCTGGGGGAAGCGATCCTTGAGTACTAGAGCTCAATTTCCGAAGGCCAATTTTTTTTTCAACTTAATATTCTTACAGTTTTTTAACAGTGGTATGAGAGTCGCACTGTGAAAGAAACTGGAGCCTCAACAAGTAAGATTCCCCAAAACACAGCAGTAGGTACACTGTAGCCAACCCTCCTTGTGCAGATGGCGCAACATTTGTAATTTATTCACCTGCCCTTATTTATTTGACAAGGTTGTTTCCAGTGCATGGACATTCAATTATACTGTTAACCTTTTTTCTTAAAGTGTGTCCTATCCATCACCACTGTCTTTTCCTCATCTGCTGGTTCGCTTAAATGTGTTTAGTTCTCTCCCTAAGCTCTGCATTAAAGTTAATCATACCATTCTGGGTGATTTTCATAGACGACCTTGCTCTCAAGTCGACCTAGCTGCAAGGAAGCGTCCAGGGAAGCAAGAGGTAGCTGACCCAGTCGCTCCTTGAGTGCTCACTTGTCTATCAAAATGTTGCTCTGGCATCATATACATGATGTGCCAATAGCATGAAAAGAGTTGTCTTTACTTTCCCCATGTGGGTTATGGGGCCGCATTGTGGAGAAAACAAGAAAAGATCCACTGCCTGCCCAAAAGCATGTCGTATGAGTCGGCTAATTGGGAGCTTCCTACAAAGTCTTTGTACATCTGCCTGATAGGCAAGGAACCAAGAGTCTGCATGAAAATGACCTGTGAAACGGATGTGCATGCAACACTCAGTTTCTGGAATAGGGCTACAGTCCAGAAGTGGACGAACACCCAGAACTTTCCACCGGAGTTTACAGCTGGTGAACGCAAATAAGTAGGTCTTTACCTACATAAAATTGTGTTACTCCTATTTTGCGAAGCCACCAATTAATGCAGTGGTTTTCAAGCTGGGTTAGCATGCTCTTCTAGGGGTTGCGCAAGGAAGTTTTAAGGGGGTAAGTAAAGGACCCTTTCCCACGCCTTTCAGGCGTATTGGGTATATAGGGCTAGACCTATATTTTTTTAGACCAAACAGCACTTAGTGGGTGATGTGGTCAGCATCACGAGGCCGTCTTTACTTCCCAGGACAGTACCTGGTATCCACTCAAGGCTGGGTCGACGTGGGAGTCACAGTCATTTTTGAAAAGAAATCCGGCCCACATCAGGAACCAAACTCACAACCTTTCCATCTGTAGCTGAGCGTCTAGTCGCAAGACCAGACAGCGGCTCTAGTTTTAAGAGGGTTTCAAGCAATTTTGAATGTTAGTGCATTTACACTTATAATAATCTGTTACACTATCATTTTTTTGTAGTTTAATTAATAATTAAAATCATAAACACAAAACAAAACAGCTAGATGTGGAGAGTGATTTCTGCTGTGTCTTGTCCCACATTAGATCAAATACGGCAGAAATTATCAAGAAAAAAGCGCCAACCATCACAATGATATTTGGGCACTAAATTACCAATTGTTGGTGATTGTTTCTTGTTTGTTAATTTAACACTTTGATTTATCTTCATGTTTTTCTCCAAGTTCTTGTTAATGGGGCTTAGGATTTTTATTTTTGTCCTCTTTTTAATCATATTTTTTTAAAGATTAAAAAATGGGGGTGGGGTGTCTTGACGGTGTCCCATGAAAAAGGTTGCAAAACCACTGAATTCATTTTAGTGTCGGCAAAACAAAAAAAAAACAAAACAAAAAACAGCAAAACTATGCAGCCTCAAATCCACACAAACAAAACCTATGCAACACAAATGTAGGTCAGGTCTTCTTCTCTTCCTCCAGCTACCTCAGCCGGGGGGGGGGGGGGGGGGGGGGGGGATGTAAGAATCTTCTCTGCGCTCTTTCTAATGTGTAGCGTATGATGTTGATGATCATTTTTTTAAAGGAATGTTCTTGATGTCGTTCCTCCATCTTGTGTGTCATCTTCTCCTAGCTCTGTGTTCACTGCATCTCTTTCTTCTTCTTTTGTTCTTTGCGGTCACTGGCTGTTAACTCTGGTCTGGCTGAAAATTCTGGTCATTCGTCCACTGCTGGGCTTTGTTCTTGTTCTGGAACTTGAGTTTTGCATGCACATCCATTTTACAGATCTGATTTATTTGTATACAGACTGTTGGTTCCTCACCTCAGATGCACACCTTTTGAAGGTCCCCCCCCCCCCTCCCAATTAGATTACTTTTACAATATGCTTGGTGAAAGGGATTGGTGGGGGGGGGGGGGGGGGGGGGGTGCATATTCTTGTTTTCTCTATATGGGGCACAGGAACCTACAACGGGATGTAAATAGTATTTGGTACCAGGGCATTCTCATCAGATGACCAAACCATCCCATCCATTTCTCTTTAATGAATCTACAAACGTGGGTAAACACAGAAAAAAAAAACAATCACAAATAACCTTCCAGATAAGGATATTCTTACCTTTAAAACAAAATCTGGCGGCGTCCCTGGTTTAACCTGTCGTAGTACACCATCATGATGTGAATGAATTAGTGTTTCGTCTAAATCTAAGACCAAAACTTTTCTCTTCGTCATACCTGAAAGAATAAAAGTCATTCTTGTTTCCCATTCCAATTCCTTTTAAGAAAAAAATTAAAAGTTCAACCTGCTGCTAGCTAGTCAAAGCCGGCTATATTTGTAGTCTGTTTTATTTGCGACCACTTTCGTAACTAAAAAAAAAAAAAAACACTGCCAACGAAACCCACACAAAGACCTTGTCAAGAATATGTCTCATAATTAAATGTAACTACTACAGGAGCCAAAGAGGCCCTGCAGATGGTATGCTTGCATATCAAGACAACTGTTCTTGCATCATCCCCAGCAGGTCTAAAATGTGCATCTATTAGGATTTGTGTTTATTAAATTAAAAGTACCTTGGCCAGCCTAAACTGAGCACAAAAGAAATAAATGCGGCTGGTGGCATGATGTTAACGACATCACCCATCGAATGCCGATCTATCTAGAGAAATACGAGTCTAGCATCATATACCTTTATCGCAGACATCCGAAGAAGACAGCCATCATTTTTCGGCCATGTTATGAGAAGAGGGAAAATGGAACATGTTGTGACCACTGGAAAGATCTGTGGAAGGAGAGAGAGAGGAAGACGACAAGAGAAGATTCTTGACAGTCTTGTTGCATGGCATGGAGGTGTGTCAGCACACGAACCGAAACATGCTGCAAGAGATCGCAGATTGTGGAGAAGCGAGATCGTCGAAGCCAGTCGGCAAGGCACCTTATGATGATGATGATCATATACCTGATGTGATACTGAGGTGCAAAGAGTCCCCGCCCACCCCCTCCCCTTTTTTCTTTTTAAACTTGAGTTCACACACTAACGGCAGTAACTCCCATGGGACTACCTGTACATCTACCTCGGCAATCTGCGAGCATATGAACATCAAGTAAACACATACATAAACTTACATAGTCTGTGCTTTGAAAGTGGCGACAATGGTATGACATCATACTTCACTGTCTGATGTTGGATCACCTGTGAATGAGATGCAGAAATACTTATGTGAGACAAGGTGCCGCTTACACCTGACAAGGCAACACTTACATCAGACAAGGCAACCTTTACATAAGACAAGGCAACATTTACATAAGACAATCCATGGCATATGACATGGCAATTACTTACATCAGACAATCCAGCACCTACATCAGACAAGGCAACACTTACTTCACACAATCTATGACTTACATCAAACAAGGCAATAATTATATCAGAAAATCCAAGACTTAATTCAGACAATCCAAGACATATAAGACAAGGCAATGCTTACATCAGACAATCCAGCACTTAAATCAGACAAGGCAACACAGACTCATATTAGACAAAGTAACACTTACATCAGACAATCCAAGAGTTATATCAGACAAGGAAACACTTATTTCAGATATTCCATAACTAACATCAAACAAGGTAACAATTACATCAGACAATCCTGGACTTATATTAGAAAAGGGAATGCTTACATCAGACAATCCAAGACATACCAGACAATGTCACTCTCGGCGGTGGCGGTAGTCGCCGGAAAACCGCAAATTAGGTCGCCGGAAGTGCGCAATTGACATGTGACTAAGGCTCTGTTAGGGTGTTTTTGCGGCCACTATCTTTTGTGCCCGTTTTTCGGGGGATAGCCAAACCATGGTGAGTTAAGAATTTTTGGCTCTCCTGTCAACTACGGCTGGTAGACAACAGTAGACGGCCGGTTTGTCGGAGTTCTGTCCCTTGGCTACAGTGCAATTACGGAGTGGAAAAGGAGGGAACGAAACAATTGACACAATTACTGTGTGTTGGCGATAGACAGCGTGCACTGCCCTGCTATAATCATACAGTTACGGTTTGGGTTAGAATTAGGGTTTGGGTTAGGGATTGGATTAGGGTTAGGGTTAGCGTTGCGGTAAGTGTCGCCGCATCTCATCTTCGTAGACACTCAACATAGCAACCCAAACCCTAACCCACACCCTACCCCTAACCCAAACCGTATGATGACAGTAGGGCACTGCACGCTGTCTATCGCCAACACACAGTAATTATGTCACTTGTTTCCTTCCCTCTAACCCACTCGGTAATGCGTTGCAAGAAGCGGTAATTGAACGCGATCGCTAACTTGGGTCGCAGCGCGGGTTCTGCCAGGCATTTTGACCTCACTTTGTTTTTTGATTCGTGCCTTCTCCAGTCCGTAATTGCACTGCAGCCAGGGGACAGAACTCCGACTAACCGGCCGTCAACTGTTGTCTACCGGCCATAGTTTACAGGAGAGCCGAACTTTTTTCAAATAAAATTTTGATCTGAAATTAACACCTGCTGATTTCTTCTTTCCAACTAACTATAACAGTATTAAAGATACACTTATCAGATTTGAAATGTACATTCATTTCTCTTTTAAAAAATATAGACTTTTGTAGTGATTAAAAGTATATAATATTACATTCTCTTCTGCCTTTTTTTGTGTGTGTACACTACCCCCTCTGCCATTTTTGTAAAGGCAAATTAAATTAATAATTAATGTGAGCAAAGTCTGTAAAAATGCATGGGCCTGAAAGAGTTAATCTTTGACAAGCTTGCGATTCAAATAGCTACATTTTGGGGGTGCTTAATCCTAATCCAACATGAAATACAGGGCTATCCCGTTTTTACCTTATAAATTAAAAAAAAAAAATTAACTGAAATAAATTGTTCCTGATTAAAATTGGCGAACTAAACTTGGGCACCCTGCAACCATATCATATAACATAACCATAACCCGTTTCCTTTGTGTATCTTCCTTTACTGGTGTGCTCTAGAAAGTCAGAAACTGAAATCTGCATATCTGCTCACTACAAGTCTCCCCAGCTACAATCTAGCACCTACTGTCTAACGTCTACACTCTCTCAAATCTCAACAACCATTCCGATTCTCACTCAAGACTCAAGAGCCCGATATTTCAAATACTTACAGCTCGCACTTGGCGTTTAAAAATGTAACACATAAAACTCCATATTTTCGCCGCTAAAACAAAGAAACCACGTAATCCCATAATCACGTATTTGATCATGATATTGATGCAATCGTGTCGGCCGTTAACTCAGTCTGCTAGTTCTAGAGCGGCCTCGGAGATCTGGGGATCCTTGACGCCGCCATAAACATCCCACAATCCATTGCTACCGGTGAGGCAGGTGCGGTTAAATCGCGCAACTCACCAAATCTGACCCGGGTGTTTTAACTGGATGAGGGAGACCATGTCACCACGTTTGATCCAGGTATCATAGCTGAATAAAGGATATAATTGTATTTAACAGTTTTCTAACGGAATAAATTGTATCATTTTTAGTAAATCTGAACAAGGTATCATAACGGGGTGAATTGTATCACGTGTGTCAAATATGACCCATGTGCGACAACGAAGTGAGGATTATCATTTTTATTTTATCACATCTTACCAAGGTATCATAACGAGATAAAAGATATCCGTTTTATCAAATCTGACCAGGGTCCCATGACGGGATGGGTGCGTAATTTTTATTCAGATCTGACCAAGGTGTTATAACGGAACAAGGGATATACTTTTTTAAATCAAATATGACCCAGGTGTAATAGCGACATAGGGATAGAAATAGTGGTGATTTAAACAACGATCTCCCCTTCAACCAAACTGGATTATATTTGAGATGTGATGTGTGTGTGTGAATATAATTTTCTTTTTATAATTTCAGTATTAAATATGTATGCTTGCCAGTTACTTTCTGTTATTTAATATTGCATCATTATCATAGTCAAGCGACTAGCATGGGCGACCACGCCTGTCCACAATCTGCAATCTACAACTGTGTGTATCCATGCCATGTTAAAAGGTTGTCAAGAATTTTCTCACTTTGTCTTCCTCTGTCCCTCTTTCCACAGATCTTTCCAGTGGTCGCAACAAGTTTTCTTTTTCTCATAATATGACTACAAAATTATGACCATCTCTTTCTGATGTTTGTGATTAGTTTTATTCGGGCCCTCTCCTCGCTCAGAACATCTTAGTTGCTCTTTTTTTTTGGCTGTACAAGGAATTCAACGGATTCTACTGTAAAACCACATCTCTGAGGCCTCGGGAAATTGTTTGGTTTGCTTATTAGTTGTTCGGCATTGACAGCTATATGTTAAAACTGGCTCTATATTACATGTTAGAATTATTTTTTCCTAACTTCCAGTGACATGAATATTGCATAGATTATGCAAACAATACCATCATCATCATCATCATCATGTAGCATGTCCTTTGCAGAACGTCGCTCTCATCACAGTCTTTTATTCTGAGAATCTTTCTATAAAATTTCAGCTCAAAAGCCTCTATTCTCTTTTTCAAGGACTGAGAGATCAGAATATGCACTTATAAGGAGATATATTTTGTATCATATCTTACCCAGTTGATATATATATATTAGATAAGACCCAGGGTATCATAACGAGATGAAGGATATCAATTTTATCAAACCTGACCTATGTGTCATTACTGTGCTATATCCATAACTCACCATATAACTGACTGTTGGTGCCTCAGTAAAACTGTGCTATATCCGTAACTTATCTTATAACCGATTCGTGGTGCCTCAATATAACTGTGCTATATGGCTATACAGTTGAAGTGGGTTTCCGGGAATTGTTACTGTCTGATTCTCATCCTTGATATGTTAAGCCTACAATCTGCAATCCTGGAAAAGGGGGGGCTGATATATATGTGTATATATATATATATACATACATACATACATACATACATACATACATACATACATACATACATATATACGCACACACATACACACTCACACACACACAACCACACCCACACAGAGCCGCATTTAGACTCTATGAGACCCGAAGCCACATAAAGCACTAAGGCCCCTACCGTTTTAAATCACAGCAGCTTATCTAATAAAACTGTAACATATTTACGAATGTTGAGTATATGGATATATATTTTCGTTTAATTTATATTTAAAAAATAATGAAAAATAAAATTTTAAAAATCACAGAAATTATATTATATAATCCTAAAGCAGGCCCCAAGTTTCAGCTTAAAACACTTCGGGGGTGGGGGGAGGGGGGGGGGAGGTATTTAATCTATTACAAGAAAGTTGCGTTTATGAACAAAATATTATTATTTTTTTAATTGTCCTTCTATTCGTAAAGGCATCTGTAGCTTTAAAAAAAATTTTTAAACATTGTATGTTTGCGAGTATTGTGTTCTTCTTCGCGTTCACCAGCTGTACAATCTGGTGGAAAGTTATGGTTGCTCGTCCACTACTGAACTGCAGTCCTGCTCCAGAACCTGAGTGTTGCGTGTGCATCAGTTTTACAGATCTCATTCTTTTGAATACAGACTGTTGGTTCCTTGCCTCTCCGGCAGATGCACTCCGACTTCAAAGGAAGTATGGTGTTAAATGCTATCGTGTAAAGTATGTGTATGTTTGCTATATTTGTTAGTCTTGTTTACATGTGTTGCCGTTTGTTATATTTGTGTCTTTTGTGCAAGTGCGTTAGATAAACACAAGACAAGAGGGGGATATAGGAGGGCTGAGGACAGAGGGAGAATGGATACCATTCATCTAGTCCTCTGTTTCATGGATGTCTTCATATTTCGCTGTCGTCTTGTATCTGATCTTGTTTTCAAATTCGTTTGCCTCTTGTTTTATGTCTTCCGCATTGTTCAAGTAATAGTAGCCGAACTCTTCTTTGGAGTCCTCAGAGTCAGAATTCTCAGGATGCTGTCCGGCAAAGTCTCTTGCCCTGTCATGAAGATCTTCCTTGTTGTGATGAGAGTAGAGAGCAAGTGTCATTTTAGGATTTGTAAACGTAATCCAGCACTGTACATTTGTACATTTATACATATTGTATTGTCATCCAATGGCCCTATTTGATAAGCATTTTGCTGTCGACCCCTTGTCGTCAATGACAAGTCGACTGTCAGTGATCACCTGGAAATGCAAAGCAGATTACATTACTTCTTTCGCTAAGCACACGGCTATGGCGACTGAAATGTTTCTTTGTTTATTTGCCACCTTCACTTCGTGCACAATTGCCCCGAATAAGCGATTAACCGAACTAGACATCGAGTAGTTTCCTTCTCATACTTCTAGCCGCATGCGTTGTTTCCCTTCTTTAGCAATAAGCCTTAAAAAAAGCAATAGCTAGAATGGAATTTTGAATGTTGAATTAAGAATCGACATCATAGCACTCGGGACACTCCTTTAAGTGTTCTGTCCCCATCTTCAGCAGCAAGCGAAGGATTCAAATTCCGATGGTAGCAGTAACTGTCCGATTGTATATCCGTCTCGCCTTTCCCTTGAGTATTGAACGTCGGCCGTATCCTCTGGTAACTCCTCGCAGCTGCCTTCTCCTCAGACCGTAATGATCTTTTTGTGCCTCCGCACTGTTCGCTCGCTCCCAAAGGGCCCTCAGAAAATGTAGCTTGCCATACATCAGTTCACCACCCAGTAGTGCAGAGCCGGCCAGTATATCTGCCTGCTCCTTTCCTAACATACTAGCATATTCTAAAGAAAATATCAAAAGAAAGTTATCTAGCTAGGATCTCTGAAACGATGCTTACCACTCTGCACGGAGCATGCCTGTCTTGACCTTTCTCAACATACTATGTGAACCAGTTACACTTACAACATGTGAGTACAGCTTATTCTCAATCGAACGAAAGGCAGCAGTGACTGCCTCCATCTTCATTCTCAAACTCGACGTTGTGATAGCCAGAACAGAAAAGGTAACTTCGTGGTTAGCGCTTTCGGTTATATTCTGCGCTTCCTTTCCTTCCTATCTCTCTTGAGCTTCTTAGACCACAGTTTATGTCAAGTAGCCTGGCTCTACCCCGTCCGGACTTTCGGCTACTTCGTAACCGTAGCAGGTCCCAATACAACTATACGGTAGAAAGAGGTTTCTGCGATTTGTACCTGGGGGATTCTCATCCGAATAGTGACTCTTTTGTTCACATGGTATTAATCGCTGAGTGTTCTGTCCTAGTGAGGTTCAGTTTCACTCACTCAAGCAGCCGCCGTAGTGCAGTGGATAGACGCTCGCCTCAGGCCAGAAGGATTTAGCCAAAAAAAAAAATGGCTCCCAGGTCGACCCAGCCTAAAATGGGTACTACTAACGTCAGGGGAAGTATTTAGTTCTATTTCATTGCCACAGCTCATTACATTTCACATATTATTCTTGAGTACAGCGATTCGCTGTACCAATTTGGAGACGGCAACTTCCAATCCCAATCAAATTTTCTGCTGGAAAAAAAAAATCGTCACGTTCATTAAGCATCCTTGATGGGGGAGCGTTAGGTTACAATTATGACTAGGTTATGTGTCATGTATAAAATGGCTTATCATTGCACGCCACCAAGAGAACTTAAAAGGATTCCTGCAGCGTTGATGCGATCAAAGGATACTGACCCAAATACTGTCCCGATTGGCGGCGAAGACGTCTACCGGCAAGCCAATGGGCGACCCGGTCGCCGATGATCTCTTTACATATGTTTCCGTTTTGTATTTATTTGAATGGTGGCTAAAATCATCATCATGTTGTGCCGTTTTAAACATCCCACAGGGCTTGCATTCCATTCCTCCAACTGACAGTTTTGTGCTATCCCTTCGATTTCACGGGTGGAATCCAATCCGGCAAATATGACTGCTCTCATCAACATTCGTAGTTTAGTTTTTCTTGGGTGTTCTATCTTGCTCACTCAGTTTGCTTCCCAGTTCTGTGCCTGTTGTGTGTAAGTATATGTGTGTGTGTGTTTTTTTTTTTAAATAAAATAAAAATTACCGGTTGAACCTCATAATGGGCTATTTATACTGCTTTCGTCTTGTCGATCAATACATGTGAATTGATTTCTCATCTTGCCCGTGTGGGTTCCAGGTCCCTGTTATAGGGAAAACAAAAATAGACCCACTGCCTACCCAAACGCTTGTCGTAAGAGTCGACTAATTGGGAGCTTCCTTCAAAGTCGAAGTGCATCTGCCTGAGAGGCAAGGAGCCAACAGTCTGCATGCAAATAAGTCAGAACTGTCA